TGCAAGCCAAATAACTACAACCAACTCTTTGAAAATCCTGTGAAAACCTGACCAGTGCAGATCACAATTAATCAGCACTCCTTAATGGTTTTTCCTAGCCTCTTAATCCTGCGGAAATCTACTCGACTATCATAGACTCCAGGTTGTTTTATAAATTATAGATGACTTTTCACAAGACCTTAAAGACTTATTTGGAGCATGAATGCTTGATCAGAGCCTGATGAGCTGAATTGCCTGTTTCTAGACTGTAGCTACTTTATAATACTTTGTAGAGGATTTCTCCCATTTATCCATCATTTCCACCATATGCATGAATGTTCTTCGAAGCCTCTTGAAGTTAATGCTCCTTTGGCAGAAACCTTTTGGATACAATACTGGACTCCTGAGACATTGATATTCTAGAAAAAAATTGTTTGAAATTTAGAACACAGAAACTGGGCAACTCCATAGAAGACCTAGGTTTGTACATCCCTCAGTCAAGGCTGGTTGTTTCTCCACATTCTTGGAGGAATTACACACTCTTGCCCACTCTCAGATCTTTAGTCTCATTAGTTCTTTATCTAGTGAAAATATTCTTGACTCACAAGTAACTTTCTCTAAGTGTATATCTGGGCTGTTGCTTGCACAGCTATATGTTGTAGTTGGTGAGGGAGCAACAGCAGCAGCTGAGGCTGGTAGCAATTCCCCATGGAATGTCCCTGGGTACTCATCATGTTGACTGGCTTCTTCCTGTAAGGCATTCCTTGTGATATGTAATCAGGAATGCTTGTTTATCTGGCCTAAAGGGATGTTACTTGTTGATGCTCAACTCCAGTACAAAAACATAGACTGACAGTTCACTACAGTACCGAGGCAGCAATGCACTATCAGAGGCCTTGTCTGCGCTTTCATGTGACTGTAAATCACATGATACTTTCCAAATGTGACCGGGGAGGTCCGCTGGTGTTTTGGCCAACATTTATCTCTCATACTAACAACAGTCTACAGTATAGATCATGTTTTTGAATGAAGATGGTGCTTAAGTGTTTGCCAGTGAGTTTCTCTGAGTCCAAGTTTGTGAGGTTAACAAAATGTTAAGACAAGGCTATCTTGAGTGCAAAAAATGAATAATGCCAAGTATTTAGATTTACCTTGGTTACATTTATGTGACCAATAAACGCTTTCCTGCAGTGTGTAACAGTTGTTGGAATGGTGGAGGTTGCTCTGTTTGCCACCCCACTCCAGTTTTCCTGCATTTCCCTCTAGTGGGTCTTCCTGCTCCCTGTACTCAATAATTTTGCTCTTCCCACTCTGCTTTCAGCTAAGAAGACTTACAGAATTGACTCTGAGTTTGACAGCAGTTCCAGCTACTGGCAGTCTTCAATTAGTGGTGCTCCATCCACTCTTCCAAAAATGCACAGCTGCCCTATAAAAAGTTCATAATAAATTTTCCTCTTTATCAGTGATGGCAAATCCACTGGGTTCAGCAATATTGTTGCTGCTTTAAACCTGATGGTAAAGTCAATGAGCAGCTTGAATGCAAATTGTTGTAGATTAGAGGTAGATTCACATTGGCATATCTTTTTACTGATTCACTTCTAGTTCTTAACCGAATGGAATTTCACATCAGTATATCTGCGCCCAATTGCCAGAAATCTTAAAAACCTCAAAGATCTTCCTGAAATCTCATAAAGAGCCTCCATGGGCTGAAACTCTCTTGTACAGAAGCTTCCAGCCTGAAAGACCATGGCACAGGTCCATCTTGCATCATGCTATGAGATAACCAGCTATTAAAAGGGAAATGAGGTACTGAAAAAAGATTACAGGCCAAGATTATAAGACTCCAGGCAACATTTCCATTGATTTTAATGCCTTCCAATTGGCACAATTTTGTCATTGCTGTTATGTATATTATGAAAATGGTCATCAACATTTTGTTAAAATCACTACTGCTCATAGATATGTCTGATATCTCTGGTAGGGAGAAAATTAACTTCTGAAACTCTACACAAATTTCCAAGTTTTCCAGCCTTTAATCATTTTTCCTGAACGGCATCTGTTCCTCTGCAGATATTTCATGGGTAGTTAAAGCAGGAGCTTTTAGGTTCCTACAATGGTTAATATTTTTTTAACAAGTGACTAGGATTTCTCAATTCCCAGCCTGTACAGATCAGCAGACCTCATCCAGGAGAGTAGCAGGGGCCTGCAACTGGCTTCAGAGTGCCTGTGTACATTTGTGTTTAACTGGACAAAAATTAAAATGCTTTGGAGTTTTTCTTTAGCGTCATTTTTCAATTAGGGAGTAAAAATTGTTGTCATCCTCTTTACCATAAATTTGATTAAATAGAAATTAACAAACTATTCACCAGTAAAAATCTGAAACTGCTAAATGAATGAAATGAAAGCTACAAGAATCCTGAAGTGTGCATTTTGCAGAGTTGACACTCCGGGATGCGCAGTGTGAAACATGTTCCCATCTGATATTTGTAACACCTGACTTTTTCCTTCAGATTTCAGTTCATATAAGTTTACAGTGATGAATGTTATGTTTATTTTTGCAGCTTTTCTTGATTGTTTCCACTTGTTCTATTGTCAGTAAGGTGATAAGATTCATCCAGTGCATGGTTCAGGAATCACTAGTCCCATAATCTGTGCTGATGTACTTGATTTTAGCAAGGCAATAAACTGTTTTCAAACATCATGAATTGCTTTGAAATGTAATGACTATTATGGCTGCCATTGTAATTAAAGCATGATTTCACAAAATACAATGATGAACAGTCAGTTAATATTGTTTTGTTTTAATGGTGTTGATAATGGACACAAGGAGAATCATCTGAAAATCTCCTAATAGATAACTGCACCACTGGAACAGGGCTTTGAATTATCTAATAACAGCCCTTTAAACCTGTAGTCCCTTCATATCATCAAAATTAAACAGGAGAAAAACATTGATCCTAAAAACCTGTGATTTTAAAGTGACATTACTATTAATTGAACCACTTCAGTAATTTCTAGACTCATTTCTCATGATCAGAGTTCCTGTATCTGTCCATGGGGAAAGAAATTCTCTTTAGGTCAAACAAGTTTTACTGTGCAGAAAGCATTCCATAAGGACCCTGAAGGTATGTTAAGACTGAAGACTGCAGTGGCTTCCGTCATATCATTTTTGGTTAAACTTCTGCTTGTAGTTTGACTGCAAGGTAACAATGATCCTTTATCAAAATCCATTATGTTTATATTTCTTCAACACATGTGCTTGCTTTGATTTTACAAAAGGCTATTTTTGCCATCTCCCAATTGTTTGTCTTGTGTAATTGATTTTCAACATCTGTATCAATGATGAACTGTTCCAATTACTCCTGATTGATGTTTCATGTAAGGTATGGATCAATCCTTAACTTATCTTTAGATATGATTCTTCAGTAACTGATGTTGGAATACTGGGATGTTACTAAGTAATATTAAATAAGACACTATAGAAATAAGTTCATAAATCACTTGTAGGTCTGAAAAACTAATGCATCCATCTATGCTATCTGAAGTGTAGATAATGGGAGCTGTAGAAGTGCTGAACCACTGTTCACAGAATCACTGAATTTTTATGGTACAGAGGGAAGCCATTTTACCCAACAGGTCTGTACCAGGTCTTGTGTGATTCCTCCGCCTTCTCCTTGTAACTCTGCACACTGTTTCTTTTCAGTTACTTGAACTCTCTTTTGACTGCCTCAATTAAACCTGTTTCACACACCCTTCCATAGTGCATTTCAGATCTTTATGACTTGCTGTATTAGTGGTTTCTCCCCCCTCATAGGCAGTGTAGAGAAGGAATTTATGTCACCACTGCTAGACAACCAGTTCAGAGTTTTTTGGTATATTAAATATATGCAGAAGATGGGATTTCCTGTTTTGGTTTATTTCATATGTCATCCTTTGTGGAAAAAGTCCTTGTTGCATGTAACAATTGGTATTTATTGTACAACAGAAGTTACATTTGGAAATAAAATTAATATAGTCACAAATAATTTGATAGTTATAAAAATCGGTTGTATATAAAATAGCTATACTGTGCTGAAACAATCTTAAAATATAATTTATAAAGTAGCCTGGTATTAACAGTTCTTAGTAAAATCTGAAAATGCTGTAAACATTCAGATTAAGAAGCATCTCTCAAGAAAAGCAAGATTAATGTTTGAGATTGATCTATTGTCAGAACCCAAAACATTATTGACTGGAAACATTAACCTATCTTCATCTCAACAGATGCTGCTTGACCAGCTGAATACTCTCAGCATTTCCTGATGTTAGTTCAGATTTCTAGAATCTGTTGCATTTAACTTTTAATTCCATAATTCGGATTTGAGCCAAATGTGTCAAGAGTTTGAGGATTTTAGTTTGAAACCTCCATGAAATGATCCTATTTGGAGAAATTTCATCAGTTGATTGAACCTCAGAATGCTATGTCAAAGCAAGGCCTTCCAATTTAAGGTCAGAAACTGATGGAACTTGTCCTTCTCTGGAAAACACACCACATCTTAATAAGAGATAACAAGGTGTAGAGCTGGATGAACACAG